TGCATCGTTGACATACACGCGTGCTGGAAGGTAGTGGTGGAACAGGGCACAGAAACTAACCCAGTTTGCAGAGATGGCTGGGGGGTAGTCAGAGTGTCCCTGGAAGATGACAGCCCGTGACCAAGCAGAGGGTTAAGGGAAGAGCAGGAGTTGGGCAAAGAGGATGGGAGGGACAGCAATCCCGGCAGAAGGAAGGGTATTTGCAAAGGCACAGATGGGAGCAACAGCAGGGTGTGGTGAATGCCAGGAACTACAAGCAGTTTGATGTTGTGGGAGTTTAAACAGGAGGGTGAGAGATAGTGGGGAGAAATATGCTAGCTAGAGCAACAGCACAGGAGTAGACGGCGGGGGGAATTCCGAAGAAGGCCTTGGGCTTCATCCTCTGGGGGATGGAGAACCCTGGCAGCATCATGCGATGACACAGTCAGATGGTATATCAGAAAGATCACTCCAGTGACTGTGAGGAGAATGAGTCGTCAGGAGACTGGAGTCAGGGAGACCAGTAAGAGCACCGCCCAGCCAGAGAGAAGACAGCACAAGGTCAGTGTGGATCTGGAGAGAGGAAAGGTGAAGTACAAACGCTAAGGAGGCAGGCTGAACAGACCGGGGAGCTGCCTGGATGTGGGTGGTAGAAGGCAGAAGAGTTGTGGATGGTGTATATATTCTTACCACGGGGAGAAAGAAGAGAATTCAGGCTCAGTCTGCTTTGGTTTGGTTTGGTTTTGCTTTTTCAGAAGAAGAGAATGAATTTCTTTTTTGACATGCGAAGTTTGGGGTATACGTGGATATACAAGTTGAAATGACAGTCTCAAAACTCACAGGGGTCGTCTGAGTTAGAGCTCATGGCTTCAGGGTGAGCAGTGCTTATAAAATCAAGATGGGATGAGAAAAGCAGGGAGACGGCAGTGAGAGAGAAAAGCAGTCGGCAGAGGAAGGGCCGCTGGAAAACACTCACGTTTGACAGGGAGACAGAAGCAGAGGCTGTTCCAAAGACAGAAGGAAAAGTCCAAGGGCTAGAGAATCAGAGCTCACAGGAAGCAAGGGGTTAGTTTTAAGCAGCTGTGAGTGAGTGATCACCACTGTCAGATGCCGCAGAGAAAGGTCCACTAAGTTGAGGAAAGTGGGCACTTGCTTCAACAATCAGGAGGACGTATGTATGCGTACTGGTTGGACTTCTTTGCTGCAGACAACTGAATACACTCAAGTTACTTTAACCAGGAAGGTATTTATTAGAGAGTATGAGGACAAACACCCACTCTCATCATTGGACTGTTACAGCGCAAATCCCACTGCCACCTGTGACAAGGTGCTAGATGCTTCAGCAGAGCTGCCCCAGATGAAGAAACGCCTCGGCCACTGTGCCTACAAAAAGAGCCACTTTTCCTGAGAGCAACCTCACCCTGAAGGCATCTGCTCCACGCCACCTGACTGACTGCTCACCTTCAGACTTCCAAAGGGGACTTCTGTCCCATCACCTACGTCATCCACAAATGATACTTCTGTGCAGCGTAAAATGAGGAAGGAGTCAAAAGAAAAAAAAAAGCAAGAACAATCTTTATTCCTCGGAAATGCATTTGTAAAAATGTCTCAGTAAGATTAAACGATTCAGAACACATTTATTTGTATGCAGCACATACACTGAGGATCAAAACATCTGCTAAAGTAAAATACACCTGGAAACAAATATCTGCGGGAGCGTTTCTAGGTGATCGACTCCACTGTGCAGGGTGTGCAGCTGACTCTCTCCTGGATGGATGTTTGTCGTAACCGAAGAAGATCAGATTTCAGCAAGAAACCATCTCAAGGGATGGCATCAACTCTTTTTTTTTTAAGGCTTAGAAGGGCCAAATTGCACATATAAAAATGGCACAAGAATTGATTTCATGAAAATACTAAGGAAGGTATCTCAGGCCCACCTATCAAGAGGGAAGAAAAAAGGGTCTTACTCGTGGGCTTAAAATGGGGGGGAAATAAATATTCTGGGTAAGAGTTCCGCCCTAAAAGACAACATAATGATTTCTGGCTCTACAAAAAAAGACTGTGCAACACCCATGTTACCCTATTCTACAGAATGCTTTGGCACAACTTCATTAAAACTGTATATGCTTTAATTTGAGCCATAAATGCGTCTCGGATCGCATGTTATTTTTGTTACAAGAATGAAGTCTAGGATAAAAACCAACCCTCAAATTAAATTCCGACAGCCTGTATTCGTAATTACGTCTTCTGAAACCATGCAAGTTATTAGCAGCACCAATCATTAAGGCAGGAAAAAATTATTCTTGTACTTGAGCAGCAACTTCTATCAAAACGGACGTTAGGCGATTTCTGCTCAGTAAAACTGCTAAAATTCCAAACGGCTAAATTGCTTTAAGATACGAAATTCAAAGTCTCCCGGTACTTACATAACATCTAACACGTTATACACTTTATTCAGCTTCTGAAAGAGGTAACCTTCTGCTGGAGAAGGTCTGAATGTTATGTCCTCAGCCTAAGAATATTAAATGCTAACGAATCACACAGTTTTGGAGCCAGAGAGGACCTGGTGATCATTTAGCCCAAACTGCTTTCTTCAGACGGGGAAGATGAGGCCAACACAGGGGAAACGCTTGTCCAACGTCACACGATGGCAGAGGCTGGACCCCAGTGACCTCAATTCCCACCACTGTACTATCGGGTACTGTCTACAGAGCTATCTTCTGAAGTTTTCCTGGTTTTATTTGGTCTCATTCATTCAATAACAAAGAAATATCAGGTACACAGCAATACGATAAAAAGAGACTTATACTCCAATTTTAAAATCAGAATATCAAAACGATTCCTGAGCCTTTAACTACCTTCATTTTATTGAGAATGCAGTCAACAGTAAATTATGACTACCCACTGCGGTTATTTTCAAATATGTACACGGACACTGAAAACACCTTTCAGAACCGTTTCTTAAAGACACTCTTACAGACACATCCATGTGATGCCGAGACACTCTGCATGGAATGTAATGGAAGTACGATGGTGAGTGGAGGTAAGATGCTTCAGGCTCTCAAAGCGCAGTCATGAGTTTGTCTCGATACATCACACTCTGCATTCCTCCTAAGTTCTTCTGGTTCTGGACGTGGACATGATCGAAATGGCTGTCATCCCCGCTGGCCGGCGCTTTCCAATGCGGCCTGTCATCCTGAAAGGATGGCCTGTTCCGTTTGCAGAGTGAACGGTTAGTGGGGGAATGGAAGACAATTCAGACAACTCAGGGAGGTGAGTGAAGCAACACAAGCACGGAGGGAACGGGCAGAAAACCATGAGCCACGTAAACGGGGACAGCTTTCAAGCAGAAATGAATGGATTTCCTAAAGGATTTTTAAAATTCAGATGCAGGTCCTCTGTCAACTTCCAAGCTGAGAAAAGCTCTGCCTGTGTCTATTCCATCATCCCTCAAAGGGTGTCTGATGATCAAGTCAGCCTGGGGAAAGCTAGCTGACGGTGAAAAAGGTTCCCTTTCTACAGAACTTCTCAGGGCTGTTGCTGTGTGAACATATACCGTGAATGCCGTGAATGCCTTACACAGCATTTTGCAAAAGTGTTGGACTAAATAGTTCTCTTCTGGAGAGCCTGATAAAACACAATATGCTAGGTGGGCCCCCACCCCCAGAGATTCTGATCCAGTAGGTCTGGGGTGGGGCTGGGACTGCATTAACAAGCTCCCAGGTGCCAATGACGCAGCCAGGCAGCGGGGCCACCTGCGAGCAGCACTGGTCCAGCCTGCCGAGCATTCCCGTGGGGAAGCGCCGGGCTAGGTCTGCCTCGCGATGAAACAGATGTAAAACAGGCAAAAATAACTGCTACATTTTGTAAAAATGAGGTTAATTTAAAAAGCCTTTATGTGAATCTCTTCTGGGTCTCATGACTGGAAAAGAAAGGGCCTTTGAAATACGGAAAGGAAACATTTAGAAGTATTAACTTGACTAGTCTAACTTGCTGCAAAAAAGTCACACGAATGTCAAATGCCTAGGATCAACTGCACTGTTGTCCCACGGGGGCCCCAGCAAACCTCGTGTGAACTATCAAGAGCGAACTGCTCTCGCTTGCCTTGTTCTAAATGGGTTTATTTCCATCACTTCATTCACTGCACTTTCTCAGGGAGTCAGACTAGCAATCTCAACGAGAAATAACTTTATGCAAACTGAATTCACCAACTATGTTCCTGAAAGAGCTTCACACATAAACACCAATTAAGACTGATCTGAAATTCAAATCTTAAAAGGAACGTTTGCCTTTACAAAGCTGGCATGAAAAAAACTCTCAAGTCTAACCATAAAAGCACCGAGAAGGTGCCAGTTTACTCAGGAGGGCTGCAGTAAGTTAGGGCAGAGGTGGTTAAGCACAGCCTTCAGCCTAAATCCCACTGACAGTCTGTTTTTTTGTAAATGAGTTTCACGGGAACACAACCACACCCATGACTTCTGTATTGTCTGTGGCTGCTACAGTGGCAGAGGTGAGCAGCTGTGCCAGACACCACAAAGCTGAAAATACTATCTGGCCCTTTACAGAAAAAAGTTTACTGACCCCTAGGTTTAGAAAAAGCTCCATCGACATAGAAAGCAACCTCCCACCCCATCTCTGAAAAAAAAAAAAAAGTCTTTTCTAAAAAACCCACAACAAAAATTCCCAAGCTTTGGTCACATTTTTAGTAAATGAATTCTCAGGATAGGAAAATGTTACTTAGAAATTTTAAGTAACATTTCAAACATAAAAACCAAACCCAAAATATCTGAGGTCAGTCAGAATGACCAAAAAACCAAACATCCTCATCACCCAGTTCATTTTTATTCCATAAAGCATAACTTCAGTAAGTTACAGCTGGCTTTTTTGGCTTTGCAAATTATTAATCTCTGTCAGGACAAGGCAATTCTTTAAACAGTTGTTTCTGACGCCGAATTTCAATTCAGAACTAAGCAGAAAAGGAGAGCTTGAGAAAGGACAGCTCCGCGAGCCCAAGCACTTACCTTATGTTTGGAGAGTGAGGATGCCACCGGGGCTGGCCAGGGTGGAGATTGGGATGATACTGAGGCTAGAAATAAAATACCAAACTCGATTATTCGATGACCTTTGGATTTCAATTGTCTTCACTGGCTGTGGACGGAGAGGCTCTCACTGAACACCGGCCTGGGGAAGCCAACACTTCCCAGGATATCACATTGCCCCCGTGACAAAGGCTGGGGGGCTGCCCTCGGAAGAAGGGGGGAAGCATGTGCCTTGAAAGGGTCCCCAGAGTGCCCGGCCAGACCCGTATTCACCTCTCCCAGGGGAACCGACGGAAGGTGCCAGAGAGATGGGAAGAAGGGAGGTAATTTATTCTTCAGAAACAATTTTTGTCATCGCTGAAAATGATGACATCTGTGCATAAACAGCTATACCTGCCAACAGACGAGAACTGAACGGGGAACACCAAGGCTGCAGGACGGTGGGAGAGCTCTTTCCTTCTCCTATGTTTAAGCCATAAAATCATTTTCTAAAATGTGATCCAAAGCAAAACACGTCCCCCCTCAAAACAAACAAACAAAACCTCAAACCACCCAGAGCGCTACTATCCTGATAAAACAGAAGGAAGGATGTAATTCGTCAATTTTTAGGTGAGAAAGTGGATCCGGACCGGTAACTCACAAAACGGCCAAGGGTGAAACCAAGTCGGACATGGGTGGGGAGCAGGCTGCCGATCCACTTCTGGCCTGCAGAGGGCAGCAGCCCTAGAACTGCCAGAAGCCCGGGGCCTTCTCTAGGCTCAACTTTCTCTAAGGGGCAAATTAGGCTCTCCTGACATTTAAGTCACTACAGTCTTGCCACCGTTATTCTTTAAATTATTTCTTCTCCCTCCCTCTGTTTTGATTAATAAGCAGAAGCTCATTCTCTATTATGAAAAATTCTCAGCAACTCTGTCCGGTTTCCGTGGACCTGAGCTTCCCTCCTTGCCTTTTCTGCACTCCAGTGGCCCCTCTCCTTCAAGGATGCCCGCCAGCAAGTCCGCCGCCCCCAGAGGACACCCTGCAGGAAAGGGGCACCTGCAGCAAACATCTCTGGACTCTCCCAGAAACAGGCTCTTCACATTTCTCTCTCAGGGGGTACAGAAACCCAGAGAGTTGACAGATGACTCGCCCAAAGCTGAACTGTTCTAGGTGTTTTGGTCACACGGCCACGCCCCAAATGAGGGTCCACCAACTGGGTCTTCAACAAAAGAGAATAACCTAGCATAGAAATGGGCCTTCTATTCTACAGTCCTTGTCATCAAACACAACCAGATCAGATGCACTGGAGAGAGGTGGACACCTTATTCATAAAGACCTGCACATTCCAGAACCTTCCTTGGTCTCCTCAGGTAATTTATTCACTTTCTCAAGCTGTCAAGGAGTATTTTTCAATGTTAACCCCCGGGGTTCTTAACCAGGGTAGTTACGCCCCCCTGGGGACAACTGGAAATAGGTAGGTACAATTCTGCTTGTCACAATGCCTGGAGGGTTACTTGTAACTCTGGGGCAGAGAAGAGGGAAGCTAAACCTCCTGTAACTGTAGGGACAGCCCCAAATCATGAAGAAGTGCCCCTTCCCAAAGGCCAGTAGCGCTCTCACAGAAAACACAGCCACCCCATCCTCTGCAGCTGGCCAAGCTTGCTGAGCTCAGAGTGACATCAGTGCTACAATACTGTCTTCCCTGAAACCTTTCTCAGCACTCAGATGCGTATCAGGCCAATGCTCAGGATGTTCCCTTCCCGGTCAATTTACTCCCAAACCTTGACAGAGCAACACGGCTCCTCTAAGACTGGCAAAGAGCAGGGGACCAGGGGTTGCCAAGGATGTTAAGAGAAGGACAACACCCAGGTGACAGCTTTCGCGGATTTGACTTCAATGAACAGAGGCATCAGGGTTCACCCTGAGCAGAGAGCGCACCTGCAGGGCTGGAAGGGTGATGTCAGGGGAAGGGGCAGCACTGAGCTGGGAATGTTTTGTTTTGTTTTTATTTTTTTCTCCCCTTTAAGCACTAATCACCCATCAACAACATTCCAGCCACTTACACTTAAAATTCCTCAAAGTCAAAAAAAAAAAAGAAGAAAAAGAAAAAACATCTGTGACTAACACAACTCAAGAACCCAAAGAAGGCGAGGAGACTGGGAAACCGAGCCGTTACCTTACCAGGTGCAAAGCATCTTTTACACATTATGCCCTACAACGCGGAAGTCACGTCCAGGTTCTGCACACTGGGAGTAAGAGTTCACATACAGAAGATCACAAAATCCTCCTGAAACATAATCTGGAGTCCTCATAAAGAGAACGTACATTGGGGTCCCTCCCCATCTAAGGAATTCGCATCTCCAGTAACAGAAGATCCAGAAGACATAAGAATAAGGCTCCAAAGTGAACTCGTCATGGAGTAGTGTCATTACTTGTGACATTCAGAACCGGACTGGTGACAGGGCACAGAAACCTGGGAGAGGAGTGTCCCCTGGACAGTCACACCCACCCAGGACAAAAAAGCTGGCCCCAACTTAGGGGTTCCTCAGACACGAATTCTGCCTCTAAGAACATGACAACCCAGGAAGCCAAGGACACATCACCAATCCAGGGCCCCCGCCCGGCTGCTCATCAGAACCACCTTAGAGGCACTGAAGCCCTCCGATACCCAGATCCCATCCACCCTTGAGTTTCTGATTCAATCAGTTCAGGCTGAGGCCCAAGTACTGGTTATTTTCTTAAAACCTGCCTGATGGTTTTAATGTGCAGCTGGTTTGAGAACCACTGGTGCCAGTGATTTCCAATCAAGACGGTCAGAGAAGGCTCTGTGGAGGGGACGGCTTCCAGGCATAGGCAAAGGAGCAGTGGGAAAACATTATGAGGCCACAGTGATGTGATTCTCTAAGAAATGAACATATGATGTGTGATGAGGCGTGGGGACAATAAACACAGGAAGGTTAAGTCGGAGCTAGGGAGTAGAAGGCTGTGGACGACCAGCGAGAGCTACCCACGGGCTGTGTATGTGTGTGTGCACGTGTGTGTGTCTGTGTCTGTCGGGGGGCGAGGCAGGGGGCTGACCGGCCATCCTGTGAAAGGGCAGGACACCAGCCACGGAAACCTCTCTGCTCCTTCCGCAGGCAACAGGCCCAGCACGATGCTTGACAAAGTAGGTTCTAGAAACCACTGCTCCACTAAAGCTGGTGGATACACCACCAAAAGAAAGTGGCGGGGAGGCTAGCTTTTTTTTTTTTATCGTAGGGAGGTTGTCCAATAGTCAAATGATTTGGGGAAATGCTGGATTTAAACAAACAAACAAAAAATGTCTTCCTTGAAGGATTTCTCGGTATTTGACATGCCAGTGGGCACCGTAAGATCCAAGAAGGGAATGAAGCATTTCCCAAACAGGTGACCAAGACAACCTTTCCTGGAGGCGCATCTCCAGAGACTCATGTTCCCTAGGCCTTGAACACACTTGGACAAAAAAAAAAAAGGCCTCACTTGAGTGCTCCCGAGAGGCTGTGTCTGACCACCCAGGAACTTAGAACATATGTCCCCGCTGCCTGCCAGGGGACAAGGTTAAGAAAACCAGGCAGTGCCAATGACTAGGAGGAAGCAGGGGTCAGGGGAGAAGGCTCTCACTGTTTTCTCAAAAAAACCATGTACTGTTGTTATTTCTTCAAACTGTGATTATAAGCATAATGACTGCTCAGGGTGGAAAATGTAGACACTTTAAGAAGCATGACATGAAAACCTTTCAAAGCAATAGCTCACCTGGTAATTATGGACTTCAGGATTTGTTTTAGAGCTAAAAAGAGAAAAGAAAGATTGTAATGTAACAGGTTGTAAAGTGGTGTTATTACTGATTTATTTAACAATCGTAAAATAATCCTAGGAGCTTGCTACTCTGTTAGCAACTTTTATGAATACCCTTCTTGGTTACTGGCAGCTTAAATGAACATATAAGAAACAGCAGCTCTCATTCGTCACATTAGAGCTCACAAACAGAAACATGCAGGTAATATTTCAGAATCCTATTTCTGATGTGAGGTTTTGGTGGTGAAAAAGAGGTCATTTCAGTTGGGTAAACCAAGTAACTTTTGCCCCCCATTCCAGGCCTGCTCTGGCATCGCTGGGTGGCCCACAATACCAGGCAGCTCCAGGATTGCCCAGAGCTCTCTCCAGCTAAAGGGAGAGCCACCAGTCCCTTCCGAGCACCCGCCACGATGGGTCCCACTGCTCTCAACAACACTGCCATCATCTGGCCACCACCCTGGAATGCTCACTCCATATGAGGTTCTGTTCTGGGAGCTTCACATGTGTTATTATTTCATCCATGCAACAAGGCTATAAGGTCAATAAACATCACCACCTCATTACATAGATAAAGGAATGACTGCCTAACAGAGAATTTAGGACACTTGCTGGCTAGTCCACGGCAGCAACGAGGCCGGACCCAACACCTGCACAACCCCAAGGCCTGTATTCTTACTGCTAAGCCAAGCTGGCTCTCTGAGGGCCTGAGGATGGAACCTGACATATAACTGCTTTTGTGAAAAGTACGAGTGGAGAAGGTTGGTGCAAAACAACGTACAAGCTTGGCATCTGCCAGAAAAACCACAAACCAACCTGGCACGATCATCGGGCTATGCTGCTGGGGCGGCGTGTTCAAAATCAAGGTTTACCGCTTCCCCAACAATGAGAGGTTAACATGCCATGGTTTTCAATCCTGCTTGGGGCCTAAGGAGCTCTGTGTTCCAGTTTTCAGAGAGGGCCAGCTCTGGGCCACATTCACCCCCGGCCGCAGCATTTCAGCAGGAGGGCTGTTTTCAGCAATGTGCTTTTTCTGGCATCATCTCTTCAGCCCAGAGCACAATTTCATCCCTGGCTCCCACAGCAATCCTACCCACCCCAGGATCCCACAGGCTGTGAAGAGCAATCGAACAGCTGCGAACAGTGGTTATTAGCTCATTTGTTCCTAAAGGGTGTATTTACTGGGGTTGGGTGGTTTTTTTTTTTTTTTTTGGTGGAGTTTGTTTTTTTTGTTGTTTCTTTTAGTTTGTTTTGGTTCCCAATATATATAATCTCCACTAGGTGCTAAGAGGAAAATGTAATCTTATTAGGGAAAAACAATCACTTCCTCAGAGAGCAAAGGAAAGAAATATTGTCATTCACAAGCCCCTGAGAATTAAAAGCAAGACATGCCGACGGGCAGAGAGAGCTGAAGATACTTTTAGCATACCACCCACCACAGGGATCCTGGAAACAGGGGCCCTTGTGGGCCTAAACTTAACCCATGGAGGAACCTTGCAACCTCCTCCCATCCTCGGGGGGCCAGGTGTGATGCACAGCAGTTCAACAGGACCCTTGGGACCTTTATGAGATGCTGAGAACTGAACCCAGACCCCCAGCCAAATGGCACAGCAGGTAGCATGTTGAACCAGACACACGAGTTTCCCGCTGTGTGATACAAGGGGCCCGCTATGTTCTCCAGGACCTTGGGGGTCTTTGGAGGTGTCCTGGGGCTACCTGGTGGGGCGGGAGCATTGAGCAGGTGCCAGCCCCACCCTCCCCTCCCTGCTCCACGTCATCCAGCAGCCCCACTTCTGTTCTCTGTGTTGGGCTTCCATGTCCGGTTTCTTTGTGTGTGTGTGTGGGAGGGGGGTAGAATCAGAGGCTAAAAAAGTTTGAAAAGAACACTGATCTAGCCCACCCACTTTGTTCTCAGATGAGAAAAATGAGGCCCCAGAGCTGGGTTGGCGCCACAGTGGGGCTGGGCGGGAGGCCTCCCGATTCCGGGGTCAGCGCTCCCATCACTAACCCACTCCTTCTCGTGCCATGCTCTGCCCTCCAGGGCCTTGGCCCACCGAGCTGTGCTGATCACAGAGACCATCCTCCCTGGCCGCCTGAGACCCGGGCCTGCGATGACCAGAGGCTAACTAAACGGGGCTACCAGTGGCTGGAGCCTGGACACAAGGGCCAAAACAAATGTAGTCTGTGATTCTCCAGCGTGACAGCTGTGCACCGAAGTCACAACTCACACAAGGAAACAATTGTTTCAGGGAGAGGACAGGTGCACACCAGGTGGGACGGCGTTCTCACCTGGGCCGCACACTGGGCTCGCCTGGGAGCTTTAAACCCACAGACACCGGGTCCCACCCCAGAGACTGACTGCATCACCCTGGGGTGTGGCCTGGCTGAGGGCCCCCGCCCCCTGCCTCACAGCTCAGCAGATGAGTTCAAAGTACAGGAAAGATCCAAGCCATCTGTGCTGGGGAAGGGGGTGGCAAACTGAGGCCCATGGGCCAAACCTGGCCCAACCGTGTGTGAGTAGAGTTTAATTGGAACACAGGTGTGTCCATGTGTTTACAAACTGTTCACGCTACTCTGGTGCTCCGGACACAGGGCAGAGCAGTCCTGAAAGGGACAGCAGGGCGGGTGAGGTCTAAAGTATTTACTGCCTGGCACTTTGCAGGAAATGTTTGCCAACACCTGTGCTAGAGTTCTAGTCTTGCGATGAGTTCTGTTCCTGCAGCAATTTGACTAGATGTTTGAGAAAGGCCTTCTACGCTGTATGACATAAATTCCGCACGTCACTGAGCGAATCCAGCTTTTGTTTCCTGGGAGCTTTTGCTCAAGAGCAAGACCTTTCTTTACCATCACTGCCTGCAACGCCACTGTCCCCTGCCATACACATTCCTATGACCTTCATCACCCACTGCTCCAATAAACAAAGCACAAAGCCACTCAAACAAAGAAGTTCTGTTTTCCAAAAAAAACAAACCGTCTTGGAACATTCTATTGTGTACTTATTAAAAGCCAGGCGGACGGCATAGCCAGGCAGCAGGGAAGGTGGGGGAGGGACAGACCGTCAGGTCTTCACTCTGTGATCGCACTGTATTCAGGAAAAACTCAACATTGCAAATAAATACAATTAATTCGAGCCATCCCCGGAGTCTGGGGGCACTTACCAGAACTGAGCCGCTATCACCGGGTTGCTTGCTTTAAAGGAAAAACAGGAAAGTGTGACACCTCAGAGAGCTTTACCACTTTCTACCATTTCTACCACTTTTTACCAATGACCAGGAAGAGATCTCTGGGATCTCAGAGCAGCCCCAACCCCAGCAGGCAGAAATCTTCACCTTGCTACTTCTTTCCAGAGGAAGAGCCTCTCCTCTGTGCCCCCCACCCGCCCCCAATTCACTCAGAAAAGGCTCACGGAGCCTGATCCCAGGGCCAGGAGCTGGAGGATGCTGAGACGGGACAGTCCTTGCTCTCAAGGAGCTCACAGTCTTCACACAGAGACAGAGGGGCACGTAAAATCGAAAACAGCATAAGGTGATGATAAAGGCTGAAATACAAGCGTGAATCTGTGCTGGGGAGTGCAGGGCAGAGGCTTCTGACTGGAGCCGGGGGGTGAGTCTGCGGGAGGGACCATGGACAGAGGTGGAACTTATTTATCTAGATTCCATTTCGTTTTTTAAAAACTGGAGCCTGGAAAATTATGAATAGTTTCGCAAAGATGCCAGAACTCTGGTTGTAGAAAATGTCAGTAAAATAAAGGAGGAGAAGAGGATGGAGACCAAGAAGGAGGCTGGAGAAGTGCAGTCTGGAAGAGAACTAAGGCTACCTTAGGGGGTCAAGCCCCGTTGCCCGTGCAGCAGCCGCACCGAGGAACCTTGCCCTTTGCACTCACACAACCTCCAGGGCCTGGGTCCTCACTGCTGTCTTGGAAGAGCGCTGTCTTTGGACAGCCCCATCAGAAAGTCCTTCCTTATACTGGGGTGTTTCTAGGAAGCTTTGACCCAACTGGCTACACGCACAAGCACGATGCTCTGCAGGGAGGTGAACACAGCCCTTGGGACACAGAGTTCGCATCCCCTCCTCCCACCGCCCCATCACTCGTTGCTCCCAGTTTCTGCAATCAATCACCCTTCACTGACCTGTCACCCTCCCTGGGCACACACTCCACCATCTCAACCTCTGGTCTCTCTTGAAGGGGAGGCCACATTCTCCAGGCTCTGGGTATTTTTCCCCCATGAAAGAAGCCAAGAATGGCTTTAGAGAGTTTCTGGTTACCATGCTATTGCATTGTTGGTTCAAAAAGGAAGGAAACGGTGGGGAACACAAGATTAGAGATTCTAGAATAGGAAAGCATAGGTGCCAGGTCCTACAGAGGCCCATCGCATCCTTAATTATTCAAGGAAAACATACGGAATGGCCACTAGGAGTAGTGATGCCCAGGAGGGGTGGGGGTGGGGGGCGAGAGTACACAGGCCCTGTTACAAAAGAGCAAGCACCTTAGAGCTGAACAAGGAGTCCCGAGTGGAGAAGCAATCAAATGTGGGCACAGGGAGCTAGGAGATGGGATCTGGGGGCCAGTGTAAACAGAAATGAGCCTGACTTGCTCACCTGCTGACTGAAGCTGTACTGGGTACCAGGCCTCATACAGGTGCAAAGTCACAGACAAGGCTCAGGGAGTTCTGGAAAGGGGGGCAGAGGCAAGCATCCTGGGGTCCAGCTAAATTCACGGGCAGGTGTGTCTGGACTGGCCGTGGGACCCGAGCCCAGAACTTGACAGTTCTGGTTCTGCTCTTACGTGGTCCGATTCTAGTTAGCACGAGACTGATGTCCCCACTTAAAATTGGAAGATGGCAGAGAGAAGGGACTGTCCTTCCAGAGGCAGGAAACGTGTTTACCTATAGACATCCCTGAGGCCCCAGGTCCAACAGAAGTGAGGAGATGCAAGAAAAGAAATATGGAAAAGGGGGAGAAGGAAATGAACATATCCAGAGGGAAAGACTAAAGACAGTGGATGGTGAGGGTGGCCCAACTCCACCAAGACAATCCCGCTGGAGTTTTGCTGAAAGCTCCAAAACGACAGAGGACAGTAGAAAGTTCCTTCAAAAACTGCTGCACCACGCTCCCTGGGGCTTAACCAACTAAACCGTAATGTGAAATTCCAAGATGGAATGAAAAGCACACCACCTTTGAACGTCGAATGTCTCCGGGATGGGTAGCGTTTACTAGGCTTCCTCTCAAAGGTGCTGGTTCTTCGTAACCTGGTGCCATGTGTAGCTTGATATTCTGTGCGCCCACTGGAAAGCAAATACATCACTGCATACTTCCAATATCAGAATGCCATGCATTCGACGTATTCAGCAGTGAACTGTTATTTCCAAGAGCTCCAATGTACATTTCAGCTTATCTAGAACTCTGTTTGGTAAAGACACACACTAAATTTAAACTTAGCCTTCCATCTGGAAATAAACACACTGTTGCCAAGTCCAGGCTGTATTATATTTCCACCAAAGGACAAAACCTGCAATTTAAGTACCGGCTTTTTGACTGCACAAACCAAGCAGGTCGAATACTTGCAACATCTAAGAGAATACCAATGCGCACATAAAATAACCTTTCATAACACATTAGGTAGACATTTAACTCTTTTAAAAGATGGTTATCAATGACCACTTAACTATACCTTGGCTTTCCTCGCCATGCTAAGGAAAACATGGCTGCTTTCACTAAGGCTTTCAATCAACCTGACACCCAGCTGCAGTCCAGGAGGTCACGCTGTCTTCGTGCGATCTATCACTGCCTCGTTCCAGCACCCTTGGTTTATGATCTAGCACGTGGAAGGCACCACATGCCACCTGCTTTAAGTGACCCCAGGGGCAGCCTCTTCTCCAGACTCCCCTCCCTTCTTACACTTGTCCTCAAAGAGCAGAAGGGAGCCAGGGCTGGGCCAAACCCCACAGGAGTTTCTTCCTAAGATGGAAAAGCCCACCTAGGCAACCCCCTCCACAGTCCTCCTGCCTCCCTGGGAGACAGGGCAGACCTCAGCACATGTGCGATGTCTCTGCAAGCCTTTGCAGTTAGGACACTTTCCATCATCTGCAGGACCTGTAAGTCGATTCTCTCTCAGAAAGGACTTGGTCCCCCCACTCCCCTTTGCAGCGTTTAAAAATACATTCCGACAAAAGCATCCTTGAAACACAAGTGCACAGCCACTTCCTTGCACTGGAGAAAAATTTGAAAGGAGCAAATCGTTTGGCATTTTAAATAGAGTTCAAGGACATGCCATGTGTGGGCAGAGGTTATGAAACCATGTGAAGTTTTAGATCTTGTAACAGCAATTCTCAGATCTGTAAACACGCCTCAGAAATCCATCCTGGGAGAGCACTTAAAATACACATTCCCAGGCCTTATTCATACACGCACACGTGCGCACCCAGAGATTCTGATTTACAAAGGTCTTAGGTCAAGTCCTAAATCCTCACTTTAAACAAAACACCCTGGGAGTTCTCACGCACTTTGAGAGACATGGTCTGAGAATCGTAAGTAAAAAGATCAAAATAAATTCTTTCTTTAGGATCTTTTCAGATTTAAATATTTCTGTGAACCTGGGTCACTCACACACATGTTGACATCCACTCTCATTCTTAATTATCACCAAATTTCTTTTTATTATCATTATTATTATTATTATTATTGGGGGGTGGGTAACTAGGTTTACTTACTTATTTATTCATTGATGAAGGTACTGGGGATTGAACCCAGGACCTTGTGCATGCTAGGCATGCCCTCTACCACTGAGCTGTACCCTCTCCCCACCGAATTTCTTGATGTTGGCATGTGAAAGGCAATAGAGTAGCGTTTAAAAAATAAGATATAAGACTCAGGCTGCCTGGGGTTGAATCGGCCCTATCACTGACTGGCTGTGACTCTGGGCAGATTATGTAACCCTCCCTGGTCCTAGTTCCCTTATTTGTAAAACGGGGATAATCTAAGGACCCACCTTAGTGAGGCTGCTGGGAGAACTACGAGTTGGTACATCAGAAACTCTAGTTAGTGTAGTGTGGCCGACAGAACTTTCCAAAACGATGCCTGTGTTCTACGTTGGCACTACCCAGTATGGTAGCCACCCGTCTCATTTGTCCCAAGCACCTGAAGCATGGTTAGTGAGACCCGAGAATCACATTTTTAAATGTGTTTAACATTAATTAATCTAAATAGCCACCTGTGGCTAGTGTCTACGTATGAGACAGCGTAAATGTCAGCTCTTAATAATTTTGTTATTAGCCTCATTTTATCAATGAGGATACAGAGGCTAAAAGAGCTTCAGTGATTCCATGAAAAGTCAGATGTTAAGACAGAAGATGGGATGTCCACCTCCAGCCTCTGGACGCAGACCCACTGCTCCAGTCACCAAAAGCATCACGGCTACTCCCCTTCCAGACATGTGACCGGGTAGTGTAAAGCAGCGCCCACCTGAACCTGAAGCGAGACCCCAGCCTGATGAAGTCTGATCTGCTGGACTTGCTGTTGCCCGGCGCCCGTAGGCGGAAGAAGGCGTGGTGCTCCACGGCGCACTTCCACAGGTGCTTGCAGGTCCTGGCGCTGTCCAGCCGGAACACGAATGTGTGCTCCTGCTCCCGGCCCTGGGAGGCGAAGCACGGGGCTCCCGGTTACCCGGGGGCTGGTAACACCGATGCAGGACCGTCCGCAGCAAGGAGGAAAAGCAGGGGCAAGGCTTACCTGGTCATCATCCTCCACCACCACCAGCGTCAATTTGCTCTTTTTAAAATCCATTTTGGTGATTTTCGGCCTGGTCAGAGAGACAGCACTTTAAAAGTACAGCCTGCAGGAATGCCATCTACACACCACACAGCAGTCTCCTTTCTACTGTTTAAGCTTACATTTGCTAAAGAAATCATTCATCTCATTCATCTAAGTGTGATTATCCAGAAGTACCACTGCCCTTGTCACATACCCACAAACGCCAGAGCATGTGCGTTTTTGAAAATGAATCTGGGGGTCGCCAATGTCCCTCGATAATCACCCATCACATATAATTCCACCACAAAATAGGAAAAGACATTTTTAATATAGGACAAAACTAAATTACCAAAAGAATAAGCCTATTTTGTTAGCTCCTTCAAAGATTAATATGCCTGTCGGGGTCAGTCCAAGAGAATATTCACAGCCATCTCTTCCCTACAAATAAACGAAGGCACAGTCGGTAGAGGGTTCTAACAGGTCGTCACAGAGCAGAATGCAAAACAGTTTTCTCACCGCGTTACTTGGTTTGCACACGGTTCACAGGAAAACCCAATTACTTAAACACACACAGTGCTTACCCTGACAACGTGCATGTCTACCCCATACATTTCCAGCCACTTCGCTTTATTCAGATAGGAGAGTTCCGCCTGGGCAGGGCTCTTTCCCCTTAGAGAAACCAACGGAGACATATGTGAACTGCAGTGCGTACACCCACAGGAGTCTGAAGGGTGCGGCCACACTAAGGGATGCTCTGTGGCAGGTAAAGGAAGGGGGGACACCGGTTCACATCAACACAACACGACCTCTGAGAACAGACTGCTCACTGAACAGAAAGAGGGCAGAGCAGAGCTTACGATATGAGCACTCAGGGAAACGACTGTGTGTGTGCATATGTGCATGTCTGTGCAAAGGAAAAAGGCTGGGAGGATGGGGGCTAGGGAGTGTGGGGGGTGTGGCAGGATGACTCTACGGCCACAGATTTTTACATTTCAGTGGGTACAACAATGCACCAGTCACCTTCCATTTTCAAGAGAGTCAGAATGACCGTGGGACAACGGGAAGCCCTGCAAAGTCTCTGAGTTCAAGGGTGACTGGATACAGGCAGTGTTTTGGGAAGATGGGCTGGGTGGGAGGAGAGGTGGCACGGGTAGTCCAGGCAGGCATAAAACTGCTAGTCTAGGGTGTCGACACAGGGCCAAAGAGGAAAAACCAAGCAATAAACGATAGGGCTGGATTTGGCAGTGGTGACCACGTGTCCTGAGATACAACATTGTACAACACGCGGTCTCAGATACAAGTGTCCCCACAAGAGCCACAGGGCATATTTCTAAAGGGTTTGCTCCAGCAGTCTGGACCATGGACAGAGGCCCAGATGTGCAGGCTGGATCAACGCAGCACCCTCAACCCCCGCCGCCTTCCTTAGGAGGGAGGATGGCAGTGGTGTCCCTGGCAGCAATGAGCAAATCAGGACCAGCCCCTGTAATTCAGAGAGAGAAACAGGAATATGGTTTGGTTTTTACTGTATATCTCTGCAGAGAGAGATGTTGCATGGGCCTTTGGCAAACTGGAGCACAGGCGAGAGAGATGTGAAGAGCCAGAGCTGCACGTTCACGGTCATTGACAGAGTCGCTCAACCAGCAGATAAAAGAGGCTGGCAAACGCGTATCTATCACAAAACAAATAGATCGGAATGCCAGATGGTAGCGTCAAGGTACCTGCACTCTTTCCACCTCTGGAAGATATCAAATTCCATCGCTTCCGTCTGATTTGGAATGAACCGAAACTCAGACACGAGCTCCGGTGTGTGTTCTGGAAGCTCGCACTCCCCAAGCTCGGCTGCAGGTTTCATAAAAGGGAGGAAAACGGGAGACAGTGAATGCTTTCGGTTACTGCGGCCTGCGAACAGCACAGGTGCCCCCTCGTGTACAACTAGCTCTCTCCCTGCAGGAGGACTGAACTCCCACTCACTCCCCAGGTGGACACTCACAGTCCCCGCGAATCACTCGAACGCCCTCCCCACTGAGCCCTACACCATCATCTCAGTTATTACTGTCTCTCTCCCGTCTCTTTCTCCTGCCCCGGGAGGCCCCGATTACATTTCCCCACAAAGTTGTAAAGCTTCAATCTGCAATAAAAGGCCGTTGCAGCGACGGAGGACCTGCCCAGAAACATCCATGGAACAAGGCTCTCATAAAGGGTGGGTCGGAGCAGCACCCTGGAGCCTGCAGTGCTGGAGAGGCTCAATCAAGAATTCGGTACAGGCAGAATCCAGGGGAAAAAAAAATCTGTCAGGAGGGAGAGGGGAGGCGTGAGGAGCGAGAGAGGAGAGGGAGCGGGCTGTGGAGCAACTGCGGCAACTCAGGTAGAAACTGGGGGGGGAGCCGGGGCTGCAGAAAGGAGGACCACCACGGGGCGATCCCGGCAGAAAGCCCGAAGCCGCCGCACGGTCCTCACTCTTGCCAAGTGCCCCAGGGAACACAGGGCCCGAGGACACAGGGGGCCCCACTCCTCCCGGACATGAACGAGAGAGGCCACTCTCCCTGCTCCCCTGACCCTTGCAGCTCAGGAGGCAGACCCCAGAAGGAAAGGGAATCCTCCAGAGGTTCCTCTAAGACCTTGTTGGCTGTTCCCTCTAATTACCTCTAATACCCTGCTGTACAAAGTACGGTCCACAGACCAGCAGCGAGGGCATCACAGAGGAGCTGGCTCACAATGCAGAATCTCAGGCCCCACCGGGACCGCCCGGAGCAAAACACGCCTTTCCACCAGATGCCCAGGAGGGTGGTGCCCACGTTACCTTGAAAGGCACTGATCTACGACAGTGGTTTTCCATCAGAGAGGGCTCGGTAAAACGTCGCTGGCCCCCATCCCCAGAGATTCTGAATTCAGAGGTCTGGAATAGGCTTGAAAACCTGCATTTCTAACAAGTTCCCAGGTGATGCTGACATAGCTGACTTGGGGAACATACTTTGAGAACCACAGATTAACACAACAGCCCAACTGACCAGCCAGAATATATGACCAAACACCCTCAGTGACAGCAACTCACTACATACCACGCAGCCCTTTCTAATGGCTTCCGAGTCACAAACCCAGAGCCCACCTTTCAGGAGAGGGACTCCATCCAGGTGGCTTGCAGAAGAGGATAAAATCCCTGCCCGCACAGAGGAAGCAGAAATACCAAACTCGGAGGGGCAGTGGGAGGACTGCAGGGGACAGTGTCTGACACAGGGAGGGGACCTAGTGACCTTCCCCTCACCTGACCGCAGGCCATCATCTGTAACTCTGAGCTGGACGGCACCCCTAAGGCCACCACGAGTCTGGTGTGCGGCTGCTTGGTACCTTGGGCAAAGTCACAAATGAAGATTCTGTCCTGGAAATATTTGCCCAGAAAAGGTCAGGGCTAGGCTCCCAAGGCTGAGGGCCACTGCTGACCTCTGACCAAGACGTCACCCTAATGCTGGGGACCTGGCAAAGCTTAGAAGGGCCGTCTGGGAAGAGGGCTCCTTGATCTGAACCACCCTGCACCCATGCGCCAAAGTGAGCCCTGCATTTACTGTTGTGTCTGGACAAGACTGGACTAGCTCTGCCACTGATACCATCACACGCAGGAGCGGGGAGTCAATAACAAGGTTCCCCCAAGATGGGGCAATGGGGCTAGTGTCCCTGCTCCCCATCACTGGACTAACACAGCCTGAGTGATGCCTGGCACACCCACCCTGAGGGAGCACGCTGCCTGCCTTCCAAGAACCCGCTAGTAAAAGGACACTTCGCTCCATCTTCAAATCCTACAGCCAGGGTCCCAGCGGTGGAGGTTGTGGGATGTGGTGGAAACAACTCAGATACAGGAGGGCTTGGCTCCAAACACTACCATATACTTGCTGTGTGATCTGGGCAAGTCACTTAACTGCCCTGGGTCTCTTGACACCTTACCCACAAAATGAAAATTTACGAAGATGAAATGAGATTCAGGACACACAACAAATGGTTGTCCCATTCTCCCTCCTCCCTTCTTTTTCTTTGTGCCTGAATTAATCTTCAAATCAACCATAACATTAGTTCTCAAAAGAGCATGGCCTCCAAGCAGGGCCACTGCATCACAACTCTGGAGGAACCATTAATTCAAGGACAACTGCAGCAAGATGTGTTCAAGGCGCAAGCTTGGGAGGACACACAACCTTTCATTTTTCAAACCCACAGAGGTGCTGTAGCCATCTTTATAGTCAGAGGCAAACCGGCTTCTCTGTGGCTGAACGAGAAGCATGTACGGATGGGATGGGGGGGACGAGGGGGCATGGAGGGACGGTGTAACCAGCACTTCTCCATTTCTGTGTCTAAGTCTTCAGTCTTTTTATCTGTACCTGACATAATTAAATTACACTAATGTTGTTGTTCCAACTCAGATGGGTAATTTCTCCAAGAAGGGCTCACAGAGAGCTGGTACTTTCGTCTTCCGCGGCTCTGGGCAAGGCAAACGGTTCTCCTGGAGCTGGGCTTTGCCAGCGTGGTGATGCCTTCATCACCCCCGGTCGGGGCAGGGGGTTCGCAGGGTGATGATACGTGTGCCTTGTCCTCTAATCACTAGGACAATGTGCCAAAGGCCTGAGGAAGAAATCTTTCTGGTGGACTGATGGCCCCAGGTCTGACATGGATGCTTGCATTCCATTAGCTCCACCCTGACATCTACTGCTGGACCACCAAGCATGATGGTACGACCTCCTAGCAACTCAGAAACACCAGGGTGGATGCTGCTTGGCAAGTTGGTGAAAACTGTACTTGGCCAAAGAGGACAGTCCAAGTTCCCTAAGCCATCACACATCCTGATGGCATTTACCACAGGTACCACTGTATCAGGAAAATATGGATGCAAAGCACTTAGCACTGCATTGACACAGACGGTTGCAGATGACAATATTGTCACCTCCATCACCAGTGCCTTCAGACCACATGGGCAGACACCCCCTCAACCAAAGTCCTCAGAAGGCCTCTTCAACTTCATTCTGTACCTACTGAGCACCTACTTTATGCCAAGTCCCCATCAGATGGTAAACATCAAAGGTGGCTACGGAATGGAAGTATCAGGGAATGGGAGTAACCCGCAGCCATTAAAGACCATCTTTCTGACTATAAACATGACAAAACACACATAACTAACATTACCAAGTGGAAAAATAATATAAAAACATTTGTATATGACTCTGATCAGAATCAAAACTCATAGTCAGAAACTGCTCGTCTGTGAGTAGGACGGTGGTGCTCCCCCCCTCTCCTTGTCTGACTGTTGTCCTGACGTTCTGTAATAAGCATGTACTGATTTTATAAGTTGAAGACTTAGATCAACTTGTAAACCTTGGTAAATACAAAAGCCAGAAGCCAAATCTTATTATGGCATTCAAAAAAAATTAGTAATTATGAATGAATATATCATTATTCATTATCCCACAGAAGCCAACGAACACTGGTAAACGAGTCCAAACATACGTCTACCCGATGCACTGACGAGATTCCTTCTGTGCAATCACACATCAGTATCCTCTTAATTAGTGCTGGAGACTTCAGCAAGTGTTTCTGGTGCATCTTAAACAGCCACTACTGCATCATATGGATGGAACAGCCAGCACTGACAGTCATGCAGGCAAACCTCTTACCATCCAATTCTCACCCACATGCTGATGTGATGACTCTGCTGTCAGTGTGTCCAGACTGACCTGTCTGATGGAGCCGGATCTCCTAGACTCAAGAAGCTACCATAGGCCCCACCAGCACCTCTCAGACCCTGCACAGATGTCTCCCCGACTGGAGCCCAATTCTACCTATTTGCTGTAAATGTTGGTAACAGCCTATGAGTCATCACTGACTCCTCTCTTGACACCGAAGCCTAATGACCAGGTCCTCCTTGTGCCGTTGATGCCAATGCTGGGGTTTTGGGGGGGGGGGTGTTTAACCCCTAGCCTTAGTTTCATTTGATTACAGTTACACCCCCTCACTGCACCCCCAGCCCCAGTCTTGGTCTTGCTCCAGTCCCTTCTCCCCATCACAGCCACTGTGGCCTTTCTAAAATGCACATCTGACCAGGCCTGCCTCCCTCTTAAGAAGCTTCAAAGGCACCATGGCTGACAGCATGAAGTTCATGCTCTTCAAACAGGGTCAAGGTCGCCCGCCTTTCCAGCTCCTTGAACTTCAACCTGTGACACCACTCAGCTGCTGGTACCTCTCTGCACTTTTCTACTCTGTGCCTTGGTTCCTCTGTTCATCTCCACCTACCCTTCCTGCAAGGGGCCTTCCGCTTCCAAGCCTCCTGCAAGCCTCCGTTCCTGAAGGAACCACACTGCACTCCGTGTGTACATGCCGAGTCTGTGATCCTGCCATGGGGTCCTCACAGGACCGCAAGCCACTTGGGGATGGAGACCATATCGTATTTGTTTGTACCCCAAAGCAGAGCACGGTGCCTGGCACACGGTAGATGCTCATTTGTTGAAACGAAAAGCACCAACTTGTAAAATGCTAATTACCACTAAGGAATAACATACCTTGTAGGCAGAGAGCAGCCAGTTCCACAGCTGTTTCATATGGGCATTTCAATCTTGAAAAAAAAGAAAGAAAGAAATTAACTCTAAATATGAACTTTAATATTCATAACCATGCAAAGTATCACTAAAATCATTTTTCAAAAAGTAGTGGTATTTAGATAATGATACTCGTTCTTGCTGGCTTCTATTTTTGCTATCTATGTTAAAAAATGCAACAAGCTGACTTACACTCCATGTTTCCCAAAGTCAGTTCTCGTCAGAGGGTAAAATTACCCAATCTAGGTACAGTTTCTCTCAACTCTAGGTAAAGCGGGCAATTTTACTGAATTTGGCAAGAATGGAGACGTTTGGGAAACAGAATGAAAAGCCTTCCCTCTGCCTTGTTATTTTTAAAGTTATTTTATCTTGATATAGTACATGCATCTTTTCAAGCTGCCTTAAATCTTCCTTGAAACGAGGTCACAGTGTTGAACAGACAGACACCATACCTAAGACTGCCGGGACAGCTGGACACACTCGAGCAATCTAATAACGGAGGCATCGCCACAGACGTGTATTACTACCAGTCCAGTGATCTCATTCATACTTAGTGTTGCAAATTTAGTTGGAAAAATAATAATGACATACATTGGTATAGAACTTTACAGTTTTCAAAGCCTTTTCACATGTGTATATTATCCAATTTGATCCGTGCGTGGAGTTTGTAAACCTCTAGGGTGGGCATTGCCGGTACTCCCCACCCTCCACCCTGGGGATGAGGAACTGAGCTTTCAGGGGTCCTGTGCACCGACATCCAGCTGGCAGGAGGCAACGCTGGGGTCAGAACACTGTTCTGCTTTGAAACGCAGTAAATCAGACCAAAGTGCACGTGAACTGCGAAGTGCTGTACAGATGCAAGGTGCTGCCATTAATATTTTTCCAGATAGAAGATAATGACTAAAAAGGCTTTTAGTATGAGGAGCACAGTATGGGGAGAGAGAGAGGAATATACACACTGTTACACACAATCAAAGGTCTGTGTCACATGGCTGAATAAGGCAAATGTATACACTGTACAATCTACTTGTTCTGTAGTGTACATTCCACTAGGACTCTGACAGCACACGCTCCATGGAGAGTTTGCACATTCAGAAATCACATTTTAAATTTCCTCCAGGTTAGATTCAAAATCAAAATGTATTCTTGGCAATAACAGCAGGTGTTGTTTTTTAGATTCAGTAGTCCTAGTTTTTCACGTAATAGAAAATAGTCAATGTGTCTGGTAGAAAATGACACATTGTAAAAGCTATGACTGCTGAAATCTCCTATCTTTAAAATAAATCCTGCCTGTGAACGCAACCACGTCAACCACGTCAGTGCCAATGCTTCTCGTGCTCAACAATTGTGTAGTCAGAGGCCTAGGATTTTAAAACCATTTTTAAGAGAGAAAAAGGAAATGAGATGAGATGTCTAAACCTCTTTCTCCTGGAATCAGCACATAACCTCTTTACATGACTTAAATGCACACGGTGATGAGCGAGACTTTGAGACTACCCAAATACTTGTAAGTGTATACATATTCATAACGTATCTTGCTTGCAAATATGACAAAAGCCAATATGAATGGGGCAGTGATGTGACAAGAGAGAATTATTCCCAAATACACATCACTTCGGATATTTAATGCTCTTGGAAATGCTTCAAGCCATATAGTGATCATTTAGAATAAAATGATGACACTGATACAAGTATTAGACTCACTTTACAATGCCTGGTGTATTTTTTTCAATTTTGAAAAGGGAACAAGGGTAAAAGTTAAAAATAAAAAACCACACACACAGTGAATTATTTAGAAATATACTACAATCTATCCTGGGTTAAGAATTAGAACAAAAACATACTTACTTTCCTGAAAGAATGTCATGCCTGAGTTGTAAAACAAACAGGTACCTGACAAACACATACAAAAGTCAAGAGGGTCACTTCCCCAGCCGCTGCCAATCCCCAACGTCCCATCACAAACCCCGCCCCCACACGCAGCCCGGAATTCTGCATTGTAAACAGGGAGTCCAAATCCAATGAGAACTTGGGTGGAAGCATCTCCTGCAGGAAGGCAACCCAGAACCTAGCCAGGAAGGTGAGCGCATGTACGGAATTCGCAAGATACTTGGAGGATGGAACACGGAACACCGCGCGGTCCAGCCGCCGCCTCGCCGGTGGCCTGGGTGCCCGGGAAGAGCCGCACGCGCACCAGCGCTCGCACACAGGCACGCAATGCAGCGGGCGGTGGAGCCTTCGCATCCGCCCGCAGTCAGCACCCCCAGCAGCTTCCAGAAAGGCTGCAGCTTGTATCAAGACTGTATCAAAAAGTCTACAGCTGACTGTGGTTAGCAACTGCTGGAGGCTTTTTTTTTTCTGATGCAGTTTAACTGCAGACTCCGTCTTTCAAAAAAACAAAACACACGTGCACACACACACACACAGACACACACAAAGGAGACAGAAATCCTGGAATTGGACTGTGGCTGTTCATAGGGGTCACGAAAGATGGGGAAGAAGGCAGCAAGTAACACAAGTGGAGTTCACTTAAGTCAAAGATTAAGTGTTTTTGTTTTTTTACCGGGAGGACGTGAGCATCAGAACCGCTTACAGTGCTTTGTAAAAACCAAAACTGCCCACGCTCCACTCCATACCTACGGAATGAGACTCTCACACTCAAGAGTGGTCCCCAGGAATCTGATTTGTTCAAAAGCTTCCCTCCCAGGTGTTTCTGATTCACACAAGCCCAGTTAAGAATCACTGGCTTTGATGACAGCTAGAAGCAGCATGCTTCATAAAGGACTCTAGAGGGGAACACTAGAATAATGTAATTTGTTTGAACTTTGAAAACACTGCAGCCAGCCACTCTCTGTGGAATGGATATAGGACAGTGTGGGTGACCCAGACGTGGGGGTGGTGGGGAAGGTTCTGGGACATTCCAGAATGTTATTGCTTCTGACAGGTGCTCAACCACCATCAAACTGAGTACCCACATCAAGGAGGACACCGTGCTGCTGTGGCCAGAACTTCCAGTTCCTATAGGAAAGCCTAACTACAGAAGCCCAGCTGGCCTCTCCCGGGGCGGGGGGTGGGGGTGATAAAGTCTGTCTTTAAAGTATTACTTAGGTGGTCATCTCCAGGCTAGCGGCCACCACCGTGGATCACTCAGCAGCTTACATGTCACCACTACTGTCCATCACAGACCATGACAAAGGAGATTGTGGAGACATCAAAAGTAGCAGAAGGCTGGATAGAGCATCTCACTGATACAGGGGTGAGGGAAACTCAATATGTAAAATGTTTTCTATGTCTCTTTTGCTTCGACACTGTTTTTGAAGTCTAAGAGACAGACATAGGCAGGCACACCATCAAAGAAGTTCGATGGGGCAGAAAGATACCAGGAAGGAATTCTAATAAATCTGATACTGTAACAATCAAAGGAATATTTCACATTCCTTAAAAAAATCAGGTGGCGATTTTGGACTGAGAAATGCTCTTCTGATATTTGCCTTCCCTTTTTGTATCTGAGACAAAATAAAGTGCCATCGACCAACTAGCCAGTTTACCCAAGGTCCAACAAAATAGAAATGGGACGAAGAAACAAATGTTTAAATTTGGATTCACTAAGAAAAAGGTCACATTAAGCAAAGTGTGGATTTTCAACAGAATACAGAGATAAGGACAGCAAAGCGCTAACTCTTGCTCAGAATATAAAGGCAGCAGACGGAAGAGGCGGCAAACCCGCGGGGGAGAAGACCACGGACTGTTAGTGAGGCAAGTGCTGTGGGTGCGGGGGTGGGGTGGGGGTGGAGGCACCTTGTTCTGCACCTTGTCCTACCTTGTAAACTCTTCACGAAGGTTGTTCGGTTCTGAAGAATAATATTTAACTCGAAAGTGCAAAGCATAAGCAGGTCCAACTAAACATTTGGAAATGGAAGGTTGAAGATATTTTTCCCCAATGTTGAAGATCACAGAGTGGACAAAAAGAAAAAAAAAACACGTTAAATCTAGTAACACATCCACCACGACACTGGGAGGTAACAACGGAACATAGGAAGCTAGTAAGTTCTTTCCCATCCTAGTTTGGAAAACTAAAATGGACTTTCGTGTTGACAAAGATAGTTTAGCTAGTAATCTCATTCTGGAAGAAAACCCAAAGCATCTAGATGATTACCGAGGACTGACACTTTACTTTCACCCCGATTGCCAAGATACTCCACACTGATACTAATGTGTAACAAAACACTAAGTGGGTAAAGGAAAGTGACACATAAACAGCCAAGTGTTCTGTAATCTAAAAAACCACAGCAAAAATACCTCCAAATTATTAACTTAAAAAAAATTACTCACACATCAGCAACACTGAAGAAATGTGGTTACCACAACTATAAAATCAGAGAGCTGGACCAGACTGTCAAAGAGCCCTCCTGCTCCCATTCTCTGAGCCTACTTTATAACCTTAGGAAATGAATGTAACAGGTATAAAGTCATGTTTCTGAATGGCATATTTATCAGTCCTCATTGGTAGAAGTGCCTGATTTTAAATGAAAGCTTAGGCTGTTTTTTAACATCTACTAAAAACTCATTCAAATTTTTAAACTCTAACGTTTAGCCAGCCTTAGGAAATTAAAATTCATCCTTAAAATGGAATCCATCTTAAAATGCTCCTGAGTTCTAATGAAAACATAATACCTCAAAACATTGGCAAAGGACTTCACTCTCTGACAAAAGAAGTAAGGTAGTAGGCTAAATTCTGCTTACTTACTTTTCATCTGCTTTTTTATGGGTTTGGAATGATCCAGCCAGTGCTGAAAGAAAGAAAATGTTTTGTTTTTTTAGGAATAGTTCATCAGCAAGATTACACAGCCCTCAGAGTTACCCTCCCTTACAAACCTTAGTAATTCTACCCATAAAAACCACAGATTGGACCAGATTATGAGCTCTTACGCTGGGGATCTGCAAACTGCAGGGGGTGGTGTAAAAATATCTGTGCTTCATGAAAAAAAAGATGCCCCACACATCACTAATTATTAGAGAAATGCAAATCAAAACCACAATGAGGTATCATCTCACACAGGTCAGAATGGCTATCACCAAAAAGTCTACAAATAATAAATGCTAGAGAAGCTGTGGAAAAAAAGGAACCCTCATACACTATTGGTGGGAATGTAAACTGGTGCAGCTACTGTGGAGAACAGCATGGAAGCTGCTTAAAAGACTAAATCTACAGCTACCATTTGATCCAGCAATCCCACTCCTGGACATATATCCAGGAAACCAAAACACTAATTGGAAAAGATCATGCACCACAATGGTCACAGCAGCCAAGACATGGAAACAACCCAAGTGCCCATCAACAGATGATCGGTTTAAAAGGATGTGTTGTGTGTGTGTGTGTGTGTGTGTGTGTGTGTGTGTGTGTGTAATATTACTCAGTCATAAAAAAGAATGGAATATTGCCATTTGCAACAACATGGATGGACATAGAGATTATCATACTAAGTGAAGTAAGTCAGAGAAAGACAAATACTATATGATACAATTTATATGTGGAATCTAAAAAATAATACAAATGACTCTACACACAAAACAGAAACAGACTCACAGAAATAGAGCAATAAACATAGGTACCAAACGGGAAAGGCAGGCAGGGAGGCGTAAATTAGGAGTATACTATACATAAAATAGATAAGCCACAAGGCTTTACGGTACAGCACGTGTGTGTGTATATATATACACACACATGTATGTATATATATATAACTGAATCACTTTGCTATACACCTGAAACTAGCACAATACTGTAAATCAACTATACTTCAATTAAAAAAAAGAAAAAAAATCTGTGCTTAAGCACATTAAGTGCATTTTTTGGGGGGCAAGAGTTAGCTCTTCCAAGATGTGCCTTTACCTAATTAATCTATAAAGTCTCTTCTAGTGAGGAGAGCCACCAGCTGCCTTTTCCTTCTGACTTTTCTCAAGTTACAATCAAGTCCCCGTTAATCTAGAAAAGACTCCAAGCTGCACCGCTGAAAATCTGCTCATATATGGGTCTTGTAATTCTGTCGCCCTAAACTCTAAAATTAAAAATCAAAAATCATGATTCTTATTCTTTTGCCAGGAAAATGACCCACACTGAAGGTGGAACAACAGGTGGGGCTTTGCCTAAGTTAACTTTGCCCTGGTCAGTGAAGGCATTTCAACTTCCTCTGGTTCTCGCCAGAAAAATCACTTCGGTTTTAACTATCAAAGAAATTACAAAACCATTTCTCTCATTTAAAATTTCCTCTGTAACGTTCACGTTGTTGATACTACAGCACTGACGAGCCTCGGGAGACTCACCTCCAAGGAGAACAACAGTTAGGAAAAGTGCACTGTGAGCCCCTCCAGGCGAACATAAGCCTCAGAGGGCAGGGACCATGCACTTCATCATCTCTGAGTTTCCTGCACCAAGCACAGAGCTTGGCAGCCAGCGGGTCCTTATTAGATTCTTAAGAAACAAATAAATGTTCAACATACTTTTAAAAATGAGGCAGATAGGGACTTTCCCCATCCCTTTACGTAAACTCGATACACGCTGAACGCTGCTGTTAGAATAGCAGTTGGAATAACTGAGCCCAGAGTGGGATTCTCAATAACTGTTCAGAATCAGAGGCCATTCTGTTGGCTGTCAATACACTTTCAGAAGCAATCTAAACTCTGCACTTCCTAATAATGAGAAAGGGCGGGACTAAATGAGTACCCTTCACCAAAGAGCCCATTATGACTGCATGGGAGGAGGGGGATAAGGAAACACAAAAGCAAATAATAGATGAACTGTAATACAATAAGCGGTGAGCAGTGCAATGGGAGAACGTGGGTTTAGTCACCCCCACTCCCAGCCAGACAACAGTAAGATAAAAGCCACAGATCCCCACAGCCGGCTGCCTGTCTCAAAGGCTCATGGACAGGATGCTTTATCTCATTGTTAAAGGCTTTGAATTGGAAACGACCTAAATGTCCATCAACAAAGATGGATTAAAAAATGGCTCATCCATGTAATGAAATACTATTCAGCCTTTAAAACTGATTTAGGCTTATATTTACTGATGTGGCAAGAGATCCGCTGCACGATGTGAAACAAACAAACAAAAATCAGGTGGGATCCCATGTACAGAAAATTATTATTTCCTATCAGTATTTGTCCAGAAGAATTTACAGACGTTACTTCTGAATGTGGGACTGTGAATGCCTTTTTTTTTTTTTACAGAATTTTCTGGGGTTTTTTTTTGTTTTTGTTTTTGTTTTTACTTTTAATAAGAATATTATTTTCATGAGGGGTGGGCCAGGTTGTCAGTTTCCATTATTCACTCATCACCTGCCTATCAGGCAGTTTTTGATGATCAGTTAGAATTAGGTCTCACTGCCGCCCTCAACCATGCTGGAAATGCTGGACCTCAGCCCTTGAGAGGAGAATAGACTAAGTCTTGATAAAAACATAGTATTAACTCTCCTGCCAAAGTAAGTATCATGCTAATGGCTTGACTAAACCTGTTCTTCACCTCACTTTCAAATGAATTGATCCTTACCAGTCAAGGAAGGTTCTCCCTGCAACCAGCCTTCTAGTCTTATTAGCCCCAGAGGCTCAGAGCTTGGTGGAGCCTGTCCCATTTCTTCCCTTTCTCATGTCTCCATATCATAGTTGGAACAGAGCAAATTTGAGCCCACTGTTCCTCGCCCTCTACTGTCAAAACTCTAGTCTTGGTCCAGGTCTGTGTCTGTGCTTCCTCAGCTGTGCCTTTCAACCCTGGCTGCACATTTCAATCACAAATACCCAGGTTCCACCCAAGATCATTAAACAGAATCTCAAATCATTGGTGTTTTTCAAAGGCTCCCAGTGTACCCTTTAAGTATTTAGAGCTGAAGTTTTCCCGTGTCCTCTCCCACCCAAGAGTATGCCCTAATAACTGACGCTGGGCATCCTGCAACATCCGTGACCCTTTCTGAAAACTGCCATCTGAGCTCTGTAAAATCTCAAGCAATTGTAAGGTTTGCTAGCCAGATGTCAATGACTCATGTTAACGCACAGGCTGACAGATGACGGCTCCTACGGGACAGGAGACTGCCCTCCCTCTGACCACACTGCTGAAGGGCCCCCTCATCCATGTACGCTGGCCTCCATCCTTCCTGCTCAGGGCAGGATCTACTGGGATGGTGGCCTGTGAAAAGTCTGGGGCTGGCTAAGCCGGGAAAGGAATCAGAAATGGCTCCATTTTAAAAAGCTCCTCGACCCCATGGGGCTCACATCAGGTTTGCTTGCCTGTATCAGAGGCGATAAGAAACACAGTCACAATCTTAAAACAAGAGATGATAAAATCTATCTTGTATCCAACCAGTTCAAAATGACCTGACTTTCTTCTCAGCAGCAGGAGATGACCAGGCTCTGATCACTCATATTTAATCCCACAAGACAACCCTGGGACTTCCAGACCCTGGCACTCAGGTCCAACGTGGCACTCAGTAAATCATACCAGACGCTGGGCTTGGAGCCCTGTAAGGCAGCAGTAGGATCTGTCTTGGATGTTCACCTGCATCCTGGCTAAATATAGCCAGGCAGCCTGTCGGCAGAGGGCGAGGCAAACGGCGCCAGCCCTCTTAACAGACCATTAAACCAGTCACTGGAAACAGACAGGTGCCTTCCTGAGTTCAAAGGGCAAAGCATTTAACTCAAACACTCTCATGGGTACTAGGTGGTTTCTGATCTGAATTTCTCATCCAAGTCCATCTGGCAAAACCCTCTCCATAAATCGAGATGTGAGATGACTGGCAAAGGCCATCTGTTCTAATAGAACATCAGTTCTGGAATTATAACACGCATGAGGCTGGTTGTAGAATTTAACTGTCTAAAATCTACACAGAAGCACTTGAATCACAATGGCCAGGAGAAGCTCAGGGGCTGAAGAGGGTCTAGAAACTCTGCCTGAACCACCCCATGGCCATCAAGTTTGAGTGATGGAACTCATAACTGGCTTTCTAGTACCTATAGATTTTCTTGGCTTGTAAAAAACTGTCTAGTTTGCATTTAAATTAAAGCTGGAAGGAATCTGAGAGATAATTGTATTCAAGGGATGAAAAGAGAAACAAGGGAATGAACACTTTTGGAGCTTATTGTGTGTGATACCGTGATTCATAATAAGAAATGTATATTTGGTCTTTGTCAGTTTCTGGCACAGAGCTCCTAAAATTCTTGTAATTTCGTTAAGTGATAGGAGCAATAAAAGTGTCTTGATATTCATAACAAACCCCTTTCAGACACACCTGGATTTATGAGGCGACTTTGGGAAAGCACCTAAGGATGAGGGCTGGTTGCCAGAGGAACCAAAATTGTGATCATAGGATTGGAACTTTCAGTCTCGCCGGACTTCTGGGGAGGAGACAGGGGCTGGAGGGTGAACCAATCACCAATGGCCAATGATTTAATCAACCACGGCTATGTGATGAAGCCTCCATAAAAACTCAAAAGGACAAGGTTCAGAGACTTTCTGAGTTGGTGAACATGTGGAGATTTGGGGAGTGTTTGGAGACGGTGTGGAAACTCTGCACCCCCTGCCTGTGCCTTGCTTGCCCTGTGCATCTCTTCCATGTGGCTGTTCCTGACTTATATAGCCCTTAATAATAAATTGGTAATCTAGTAGGCAAAAGGTTCCTCTCAGTTCTGTGACCTGCTGCAGCAAATTAATCAAGCTCAAGGAGGAGGGTCATGGGAGCCCTCAATCTACAGCCAGTAAGTCAGAAGCACATGACAACCTGGACTTGGGATTGGCGTCTG